AGGCCGCCCATGCATTCCAGCCGCCATCCTTGCAATGACCTGACCATGTGCGGGGCTGACAGGCCCCAGAAGCCAGAGTGCACCACCAGCCCCACCGGTTCAGGACTGCGGAGCTCAGCACCCAGGGTACCGGGACCACCGCGGTTGGCGCGCCCTCTTCTGGCATCGTTGGAGAGCAGCAGAGGCTAACGGGCGGCCGCCCCCTTGGCCAAGTAAGACTCTGGTCCCCCCCAGTGCCACCCCCATCACACCCCCGCCGCTATGCCGCCCCCTCCCACTCCGTCAATAAGATTAGCCTTCCTAAAATGATGCTTCCAGACAGAACCCCCTTGTATCGACCCCCACCCCTGTGTCTAAAGGCAATGAAAGCTGGACACACATGTACATGCATATTGAGGCATTTGGAGGGCAGCCAATACTGGCAGGACATGTGGACTACAACCTCTGAGCAAAGGGAACCGACAAGGTGACCTCATGTCCACCCTGCCGGCTTCCCCCACTAGTGTGGGGGGATAGAAGGCGGCAAATGGCCTTGCTGAGCTGAGGAGACGGGGGCCCTCAAACCAGCTGGGGCTGGAGGGGAACCCCTGGAGTCCTGAATGCAAACCCCCTTGGGTTGTGGCCAGCCCCTAAGCTGCCCCAGCCAGGGAAAACCACAGAACCAGTCAAAAGCGCCTAGGAGGGCAGAAGCTGAGCGACTAGCCACAACATGGCCCTAGGAGAAACAGGTGTAGCTCGAGCTCGTGGTGATGGAGGCCAGGCAGCCAGTGCAGGGGCTTTCCTCCGAGAGCACAGATGGTCGTCTGCCCGGGAATACGGGCCACACTCTGAGAATAAGACCAGCCCTTGTGAAGCCTAGATGCAAGGCTTAACCGGGCCCAGCGTGCCTGTAAGAATAAAGCTTCACCCTCTTTGGCAGTAAAGAATGCCAACCCAGTATTCCCACAATAATGTGCCCACAATGTCCAGCATCAAATAAGAAAGTGCAAGGCATGCTATGAAAAGGAACCAGATCACTGAAAACCACGAAGAAAAACAACAGACCTACAGGTGACCCAGATGTGGGAATTCTCAGATAGGGGCTTTAAAATCACCAACATGCCACTTTCTCCACATCCCTGCCCCGCTCAGGGGCCTCCCATAGCTCCCCCTCGCTCATCCCTCTTTGGAAGCAACTTTGCACAGTGGAAAGAAAACAGCTCCACCCATGTATAGATGTTGTATATGATGTACCCTTGGAGTTACAACATCACAACTTTCAACAATTACAACATTGTAAATATTGTGCAACATTACAATGGCCTATAAACATTTGGGCCATTTCTGGATTTTTCCCTTTGTTCTCTCAGTTATTACTAAAGATCTGCTACCAATATCCTCATTCATGTGTCTTGGTGCCCGTGGGCAGGGAGTCCCGGGTCCAGAGGTTCTCACATCCCGGGGAGCATCAGAATCTCCTGGGGCCCGTTAAACTGCAGGCTGGCAGCCCGGCCACCCGTTTCTGATGCAGCAGTTCTGTCTGGGGTGGGACTGGAGAATGTGCACTTCCAACAAACCTCAGGCGCTGCTGCAGACCCAGGGACCCCTTGAGAAGGCCGGTCACTGGGTGCTGCTCTAGTGGCTGTGGCAGCGTGGCGCTCCACACTCATTCGGTCCAGGTGCTGTGCTACAGGATTACAGCCATGCAGATCGCCACAGTTCAGGGGCGGCAGCTCCCCTACGCGGGAAGTCCTGGTAATGCAGCCTGGTGGCTTCAGCTGCTCCCGTGGCCCCTGCTGGATGGGACCGTGCCTTTCAGAGCACTGAATGCAGGGGCCGGGGGTGGGGTGGGGAATGTGCCAGTTAGCATCGGACTGGCCGCTAGTGACGTGACCCTTATGACCAGGGCTGGATAAAACAGACGCTTCCATCTCTCTTACACAACAGTCACAGCCAGAGAAACATAATCTGGGGACCACCCTTCACGATGTCGCAAAACACTGGGGTTTTGTGGTCCCGTTGCCTGGGTGAAATACCAGCTCCATCTCCCCACTTGTAAAACGGAGATCATGGCAGGGGCTGCCTTCCAGGGACGCCACGAGAGCTCTGGGCTTCGAGAGCCTGCAAACACGGTGTCTGCCATCTCGCTACCCCTCCCTTCCCTCCTGAGATAGGACAGCAGGTGTGAGTAGCCCCAATTTTTGCAGCAGGAGGAGTGAGGCTCAGAGGGATGTGTCTGCATCCTCACACAGAGTCTCTGGCACAAAGCACAGTGGCTAAGCCCGTGGTGTTTAGATTCGGGCACGTGGCTTCTAAAGATTCTGATCCCGCCTCAGCCATTTTCTCAGTCTTCCTAAATTCCCCCACGCCCCATACGCACACACTGCAGATGTTGCCAACCCAATGGACTAGCAACTCGGGGTCCCGGGTGATCCCTCCAGGTGCTCGCAGCCCAGATGCAAGGCAGACAGGACTCTGGGAGGAGGCCCACCACGGGCAGGCCTGGGGAGGGATTAAAAGTTAGCCGGGTGAAAGGGAAATGGGAACAGTGTTCTGGGCAGCAGGAATGGCAAAGAAGCGTGTCCAATAAGCGGAGGGCAAGTGAGGGAGCGCAAGGACCGGCAGGCCGGGCTGGAGGGCCAGGTCGTAAAGAGCGGCTGCGTCCTGCTCACGGCGTTGCGCTGGGTCGGGAGTGAAGCGAGCTGCTGCTGCAGGGGCCTGAGGCCCGGGCGGGGAGGCTGGGACTGACCCCGAATCACGGAGAAGGGGCTGTGGGAGTAGGGGGAGGATGGGGAGTGAGGGGCGAGGACAGAGCAGGGAACTGGGCCGGGGCTGGAGCTGCGGCATTAATCCCGGCAGGCCGCGCAGGGGTGCAGAGAAAAGGGGGGACAGTTCGAGGTTCACTTAGGAGGGAGAATCTGGACGGGAGTCCTGCCCCCTCCTGCTGCGCCTGCCTCTGTCCCTCCTCCTGTGCTGCCTTTGCTTTTCTTTTTTAAAGAAATAACTATTTTATTGAGGTATAATTCATATGCCCTGAAATTCACCCTTTAAAGGGCCCAGTTTAGTGGTTTGTAGTATATTCACAGTTGCACACCCATCCCTGCTGCCTGATCCCAGGCATTGTCCTCCTCCCAAAAGAAACGGTATGACCAGCAGTCACTCCACGGGTCCCTCCCCGGCCCCTGGTAACCAATCTCTGCGGATTTGCCTGTTCTGGGTGTTTCATGTTGATGGAACCTATTAGTCTACTTGGTCGGTCACAACCAAACACCACAGACCTGGGGGTGTTTAAACGGCCGCCCCTGATTTTTCACAGCTCTGGAGGCTTGGAGTCCAAGATCAGGGTGCTGGGGGTCAGGTTCTGGTGAGACCCCTTTCCGGTTGTGACCAGAATACGCCACCTTTTTGTGTCCTCACCAGGTGGAGATGGGGTATCTCTCTGAGGTCTCTTCTTATAAAGACTTCATTCCGTTATAAGGCTGAATAGTATCCTTTGTTTATTCATCATCAGCTGATGGGGTGTGTACCGAGGTGTGGCATTGCCAGGCCGTGTGGTGACTCCCTGTTAAGGCTCTCATTTCCTCCCTGGTGCGTTCATTCAGACAACATGGCCAAACATCTATGAGGTCATTCAGCTTCGCTGTGTGCCAGACACTTCTGCTCGTGGGCTGAGAGGTGGGGGGCTGCTCCAAGGAGAGCTCTTCTTCGTGCTTCGGGCAGGTTTTCTTGGAGGAGGAGAACTGTGTAGGAAAGGCCTGCCCACTCAGCATCCCCCAAAGCTTTAGCCACCCCCTCAACCAGACGTGATATGCAAGGTCCAATGCAAAATGAAATTGTAGGCCCCGAGTTTAAATATGATTAAGAACTTTAAGGCGGGTACCCCTGGGCATTCAGCTAAGCTCAGGACCCTTCCAGGTGGGCCCCTCTCCCGCGGAGAGAGCACAGCGCCTCACCTCCACCCTGGCCTTAGGTAAGCTGGAGACCTGGGGACGCCCTTCTGATCGTGGAAACGCTGCATTTTGTTAAGCTGATTGCATGTAGTAAAATGCACAGCTGTTTATTCCCGCCTGTGGTCAAAATGGTAACATTTCCAGAATATCTCGCCTAGCTTTGGTGCATTTGCATATCTTCAGGGGTGGAGAGAAGTCATCTCCATGTCAATGGGTAATTACCTGGGCAACTGGGGGCGTGTCTGAACCTGAGAGGTTAAGGGGAGGGGCTGGCTTGGTTGCTTCCTCCGGGAGCAGGGGAGAGAGATGGCGCTGCACTGCAGTTTGCAAACAACGGGTTTTAAACTTTTTTTCTCTCTTTGACTGATTTTGTTTTTTAGAGGTATTTTTGCCCTGGGATTTCCTCTCCCCGGACTTAAACCACCTAAAGAGTTAAAAATTCTAATCTTTGATATTTCAACTCAATATCTCAAAATGGTTAATTTTTGTAAGGAGCTGATTACGTTTAAGAAAGCGAGAATAGTTTAAAATTTTTAAGCTTCGATATTTAAACCAAGTATCTCCAAAATGGTTAATTTTGTGTTGAGCTGATTATATATGATAGTGCGGGAGCCCTCTAGTCCTACCTAGGAAATAGTTAAAACTTTAGAATTTGACATTTAAACCCAGTATCTCAAAAATGTCTAATTTTGTGTTGGGTGCTTTCTTTCAGTTAGGTGGGAGCTGAGAGCTCTTCCGTCCCTCGGAGGCGTTACCACTAAGTTCCTGCTGGGATATCAAACCACTCAGGGCACAACCCCTGCCTCCCCGCCCGGGACGCGAACCCGCTAACCGCTAATTCGCGCCGAGGCGCGTCACGTGACCGCGCGTCGCGGGAAGCCCTTTGCGCAGCCGTCGTCAGGCGGCCGACCGCCCACGAGCTCAAAGCCCAAACTGGAGGCGGGGCCTTCGGCGGAGCCTGCGCCTAGGCGGGTTCTGGCGGGCGCGCGCCGCGGGGGCGGGGTCACACGGAGGCGGCCACGCGGAGGCCGGAAGGAAGCGTGTAGAGGGCGGAGCGAGCGAGGGAAGCCCGCCGGCCTGCGGGACGACGGTCGCGGCCTGATGACGTCGCACAATGGCCGGCCCCCGCGGGTAGTGGAGCCCGTTTGTTCCGCCCGCGTCGCGCCTCAAGCCGGAGGCTGTGAAGAGCGGAAGGGCCGAGGGACGTCTTCCCCGCGCTGCCCCAACCCCAGCGGAGCAGTGGCCCCCTCCCCGCTCTCGCGCTGAGGTAAGCGGTGGCGGCGGCGGGGAGGCCGGGCCGGCTGGGGAGGCCGAGGCGGCCGGGCGGGGAGCGTGGCGGCGGCGCGGGGCCGAGGCCCGGGAGCCTCGCCGCCGCCGCCTCCGGGGAGCGCTCCAGGCTGAGCTCCCGGCCGAAGCGTGGCTCTCGGGGCCCGGGGAAGGGTTGCTGGTGCTGGCGGATCCCGCGGTCCGTCCCGAGTTCTCGTCCGCAAAACAGAGCCGGCTCGGGGGCCGGGAGCCCACTCGGAGCCCGAGATCCGCGGCTGCGGCTGCGGCCCGCGGCGGAGTTGACTCTCGTGAAGCTGTCACTTCTCTTCCGGGACATTCGCGTGGCGCATGTTTGTCGCCCACAAAGCGGTGGTAGCAGGTTTGCCCTCCGGAGGAGGCCGGGCCGGGCTGGGGATGAGCTCTTCGGGAACTTTGAGCTCTCTGGAGGCTCCTGGGACTTGCTCCCTCGGCTTCACAGTGCGCACAGGTTGGACGTGTTGTATTGGCCGTGACCCCGGACGGGCGCCACTCTTAGAAATAAACTTCCTTGCCGCTTCCGTTAGGAGCGCAGGGATGGCGGGTCCGTCGTATGAATTAACCGCGGCTGTGATGCTGGGAGAACCTAAGACTTAAGACTTCGAGTCTTGCTCTTGCTAAAACTTAAGTTTTGCTGAATAGTTTTTGACAGCTGAGTTTGCTGGGCAGTGCAAAGTCGTTGATCGTTTTAAATGAACTCTGTTCAGCAAACTCATTTGCAAGAGTAGGTCAGTCGTCAGATCCATTTGGGGAAAATGGAAGGAGAGGGTGCTTGATGTCTGAAGTACCGTTTGGGAGCATAGCAATGACTCTTATCATTTCTCCTTTGACACTACCCGCCTTGGTATTGCCCGTGGAGCGGTCCTTTCCCAGAGCAGGCGTTGGGATTCTCAAGGCGAGCCTGGACCCAGGCTGATGTCCACTTCCAAGCCCTCGGGGGGAGTCTTTGCCTGATAGGTCTACAAACACACTGTGGAGCCCAGCCAGCTCTGGAAACCAGTCAGATGTATCCCAAAGTCTAGAACTCCTCACTGGTTATAGGCGGGAAGTGCGCAAAAATTGTTAAGAAAGTTTTGTGGAATCGTTCCAGAGAGCAAACAGGTAAGCTGTGGCCTTCCTCATGTTTAAAGAGGTTTTTCACTTGTACACAGGTACAAATTATCCAAGGTGAGTGTTTCTTCCGTGAGGAGTTCTGGGTGTTCAAACTTTGTTAGTTTGGGGTTGGCATCTGTTACTAGCTTCTGCAGTCTCTTTTCAGATGTTGTGAATCCATGAAGTTATGGATCAGAATTTTAACTGGATGCACTGTAACTTAGGTATTCAGATAGGGACTGCTCTATTAAAGCCGTTATCCCCAGAAAGGTTATGCTTGTATTTCACTCGTGCTCCTTTCGCAAAAGCTCTTAAATTTCTGTTTTGGTAGTAAGTATATAAGCCAGATGGGACACAGTCATACCCCATGTTTGACCAAAATCGCCTTAACCTGCCTTGGTAACTCATCTCACATACCCGACCAGGCTCTGAATGGCTTCCTGAAGCTCCTCAAAGTGACACACTGTGAGAGGAGAAGCATTTATTGCCGAGAGAGCATTCTGCAGGTTCTAAAGGTCACTCACTGGGAGGCTCCCGAAAAGTGCTGTGCTTTGGCAGTGTGCTGGGACCGGTGTGCTGCCTCCCAGAGTGAGTGCGGTGAAGTCCCGGCACAGCCTTCCAGAGATTCGGCACTTACTCAGACTTCTGTCTGGGGCAGCAGGTAGTTTATCAAGTTACAGGATTTTGTCACTCATTCATTCATTTACTCTACGAGCATTTATCAAGTATCATCGGTGAGAAGCAGGATGTAGTGGAGACACAGTAATGGACATGTTATTCCATCCCCTGGGTAAACTCACCATCTGATGGAACAGAGTTAATTCCAAACTTTGCAGGAATCCTTGATCACTGGGTGATTGTGTGAGAACAAATTATTATAAACTGTGAGCCTGGGAGTTGGTGACCAGAGGAACCTCCATCTCATTATCTACACTTAATAGGTGCATGTTTTCCAAGCACCTGAATTAGAACATGCACTCAGATATTTGCCAAATTGAATTAATCTCAAAACAGGACACGGCCACCCAGAGAGACAGTTACATGCCCAGAGGAGGGGGCATCTCTGACTGAACACCAGCATCTCTGACTGCCAGTGACACTCATTCTCTTCTGTGCAGCAAGGTGTGACTCAGGTTGCTTCTAATCAATATTCTTTTACTTGTTTTCCTCTGCAATGTATTTGCCTGTGTGCAGCCTCAGATTGTAGAATCCCAAGAGGTTCCATAGGGAAAGGAGCAATGATTCCTAGGGAAATTGTCCGGACCTCCTAAGGGTGGCTGTATTTCCCAGTGTGCCTAGGACAGCCCCTCTTCTTCCCTGTTGTAGTTGTCAATAATGCCCCCTTTCATCTCAAATGGGTCCCAGTTTAGACAGTACATTCCATAGTAGCTCTGCTGTGAAGTGCCAGCTGTTTGCTAAGCTCAGGCACACAGAGGTGAGTCTGAGCCCTTCTACTCAGGCACTTCATGGGGGCACAGGGGTCTCCCAACTGTTGCAGACAATAGTTGCAGGACAGAATGAGATATGTGAATATGTAATAGAATAATGTACAATACACTTGAGGCATGAGTTCTTAGTCTGGGGACCACGGGTGCACCTCAGGAGCTTTTGAACCCCAGGTGAATCTCATAGGCCCAGTTTTCTCTGTGAGAGGAGCCATCCCCTTCATCAGATCCTCAGGGCCGGCTGAGTTTCCGCCAGGGCTGACTGCCTGACAACAAGCCCTGGGCTGCCCTGCCTTCTGTGGCATCAAGTGTGCTGAGGACCTTTTGCCCTGCCACCTCTGGTCAGCCCTGAAAACTGCCTTTGAGAGTGAGGAAGTTACCTTTGTGTCCTTGGAATGTAGAAGTTTTTCGTAATTCAAACTGGAGAGCATACAGGTGCAGTAAGTACTTCTTAAAAGTTATTTTCCAGGTCACAAGTACTGGTACCGGCCTCACGATTTTAACAAGTCTGCCTTTCCTGTGGTTATCAGTATAAAGGATGTACACCTTTGGGAGTTTCTCTTACTGGATTCATGTTTAGTGTAAGTGACAAACTAACATTGACAAGTTTGAAATCATAAAATAATTGACAGGTGTAACAAGTTGGATCTTCATGTGTTTGTCACTTTTTTAAAACAAATAGTCTGTACAAACGATATATTAACTTTTCCATTTATGTGAAAAAAGTGTTTTCAGTTCTGCAGGACTAAGGAGTATAGGCAGATCACAAAACTTCAGAAAGGAAAAATAGCAAAATCTACTGGCTCATAGAGGTCTCCAATTTATGCATGGCCTGTGTTGCATGAAAAAGTTTATAAAATCCGTTTGGAACTTGGGTACCATTTTCCTCTGGAAACAATGGCAAAAAATGGGGGTTGGTTCCTAGGCAGGTAGCAGAAACTTGTTTCACGTGTAGTGCAGGGCCCTGTGACTGAGCCCATACTCCAGAGGTGGCTGTGTGTTGCAGTCCCAGGATGTCCACGAGGTGGCCTTGTGCCTGGTGTCCTGTGATGGGGGGCATCACTCTTCAAAAGGCTGGTGTTAGGAAGCCGCCCATGCTGCCGCAGAGTGGCTGTCCTGCCACAGGCACTGGCGGCTGTTGGTTTTATCGCCGAAATTGTCTTAATAGCATAGCCTTGCACTAAGTAGATTCTCAGGTGTTTGTTGAATGAAACAGAATTAATTACTCCTGAGCACACCAAGAGACCCGAACTGAGCCTAACGGGAGGGATGGGAGTGTGGCTTTTGGATGCTGAAGACCGCTTTTACCCATCTTCATGTGAATGTGCTTCAAGTGTGTGCAGCCTGTGCCAGGCACATCGTTGGGCTTATCTCATCCACTTGTGCAACAGCCTTGTAAAGTAGATACTGATGTCCCATATTTCAGATGAAGAAATTGGGGTCTGGCAATTTACATAATTTTCCCAAGATCCTAAAGCTGGGCAGCAGGAGAGCTGGAGTTCAAGTTCTGCCTCAGAGGCCCACACTGTTTGCACTACCCCATGTGTCCCATGAAGATACAGCACACCAGCAGGTCAGCATCCCCCTTTACTGGCCCACTTGTACTAGTTCAGTATTTGAAATTAGGAACTCTTTCCATTTCTTCCTCTAGGTTTTAATTTCAAATTTGCCAAAATGTAAAAGCAATTCGGTTGGATCTAGTAACAGTGAAACCAAAATATAAACCAGTTTGTGCTTGGGCCCTAGAAGAGGGCTGGTCTCAGGTTATGAGAGTTTGTGGCTATGAACCAGATAGCATGTTGCAAGGAGAGTAAGTGGCAGGCTTGGGGTATTTTCTGCAGAGTATCAGTTGTGTGATTTTTGAAGGAGTTTGAAGAGACGTTTGATTTTGGGTAATGCTGATTGATTTAGTAGGTAACCTTGCTTCCAGGATTGATACAGGTGGGGATCAGAACTTCTCAGTTTTCACTTGGGGATGTATGCGGCTCCTTCCCAGTTCCTCAGGGGCTACCGGAACTCCTTCAGGCAGCTGGAGAGACGCAGGCCCCTGCTGTTAAGAAGACTTCTTATGTACAGTGTAGTAGGAAGTATACAAAGATAAGCATCAGATGTCATGCACAAAGGAAGATAATAAGTTTTAATATTGCATGTGAGGGTGCTGGGGGCTGACTGCATGCTGGGAGTGCCCTGCGCCTGCCTGGAGCAGTGGAGAGCATAAGGGGCCTTAGAGGCGGCCCTGCGCGTGACAGCTTTCACCTTGCTTCTTGCCATGGGCTGTAGGACTAATTCAAGAATTCTTTCCAGTAGTCCTACCTCTCAGTAGCGTAGAGCAGACTGCAAAGTGAATCATTTTCAGAACTGTGGCTTTGAATGGATTGATCGGTTTGTAAATTACTATCATTGCTAAACATCTGGTTTACTTATCCCATGAGGAATTTTAAGTGAGTTGCCTTAATGTGTGTTAACTATAATTTCCATTAATAGCAAAAAGACATTTCCAACTGTAGACTTAGACACCAACCCTTGTAATATGCATCTTTAAACTACACATTCTCTTTTTGAAAGTAGAAGTTAAAAGACATATTTTTAATCTTTAGTTATGTAAGTACATGAAATGCTCATATATTTAAAGTATGCAAATAAATGTGTGTGTGTGTCATCAGATCTTGCCAAGGCAATGAACAGCATGACTGTGACATACATTATCTTAAATAAAAACTTTTGTAGAATCTACTGAATATTGAACCTCTCACTATTCCTGTTATTTCAGACTAACTTGGAGGTGACTTGCTGATGTCAACTTGGTAATGGCAAATGTTTGCTAAAAGACTGTTTGGTGTTGGTTTCTGTGCACACACTCTAACCCCACTTTCCACATTTAGTACAAAGAGGAGCGTGCTGTCGTTGTGCACTGAGATGGGAAAATCAGAAAATATACAACTTTATAACTAAATCTACATTAATAAAAATAGAAATGAAATATAAAATGATAGTCAGTCTTTTTACATAAGAAACTATTTGAATGTGTAAAACGTTCCGCAGGGCTCCGTTCCACGACAGAGCGTATCGGGGCTTGAACCCCACCTCTGGGTGGCTGTGGTGGCTCCCGCATGCAGGTCCGTGCTGAGGCCTGATGAGGGCCTGCATTTTTAAAGATCATCTTGAGTGATTCTGACGAGGCAGACAGAGCCACACTTGATGGGCTTTCAGGAGAGGGGACAAGTCACCACCTGGGTGCCCCTACAGGTGGGCCCAGGCCCTTGAGGGCGACCCCAGAGAAATGGTCAGACATGTGCCTTATGACACTGCTGTCTCATTCCATAATGCACATTTTCTTGAATTTCAAAAGTAATTTTTTCTGAAGGGTCCAAAGCTGTCTCTTGTATGTACATCTTCCTGCTGACTTCGTGTTGACTGGGTGATGCCTGTGAGGAGGGGCGTGCTGAGTCTCTGCCTGCTAGGCTGCTACACGTGTGAGCTGGCCCAGCCCAGCCCTGCGGCAGCATCGTGTGTGATGTCGGCCTGCCGTCCTCCCTGGTGGGACAGCCAGCAGCAGGGGCCTGCGGAGTCGGGTCTGGGATTCGGAGGAGCCGCGTGGGGCCAGGAAAGCCAGTTTGCTAAATGCTGTGAGTCTGTGCTCTCTCTTTTGCAGAACTGTGGGTACTGATGGATGTGGCCGAGAGCCCTGAACGGGACCCTCGCTCTCCAGAGGACGAAGAGGAGCAGCAGGGGCTCTCGGACGATGACATCCTGAGGGAAAGTGGGTCTGATCAGGATTCAGACGGAGCTGGGGGGAGGGCTTCTGACTTGGAAGATGAGGAAAATGCTGCCCCAGGACTGAGCCAGGAGGAGGAGGAGAGCCGCTCTGACGAGGAGGCCCAGGAGCAGCGCGGGGGCCCTGCCGGACCCGCGCCCGGGGAGGAGGGGGTCTGCCAGGAGGAGGACCACACGCGCGAGCTGCGGGACGAGGCCTCGTCGGTCACCAGGGAGCTGGACGAGCATGAGCTCGACTACGACGAGGAGGTCCCCGAGGAGCCGGGCTCTGCCGCACAGGAGGAGGAGGCCGAGAAGGCAGGGGCCGAGGAGGAGGAGGAGAAGGGAGAGGGGGCGCCCGGAGGGGAGGGCAGGGCCGGCGTCCACAGTGTGGAGGACAAGGAGCCCCCGGAGGCTTGCAAGGAGAAGAGAAGGGAGGATGACGACGGCGAGATCGACGACGGCGAGATCGACGTGAGTACGCGGGCCCCTCTGCTGCGCCCGCCCCGCGCCTGTCGCTCCAGTGGGGGGGCCCGGGGTGGGGGCGGGCGGGGGACCGAGGGCTGTGCTGGGCGCCGTCACCATGGCGATTAGGAAGTGCTGGAAATCGAGGAGAAACCTAGATTCAAAAGGCTGCTGCCTGCTGGTGGGAAGCCACGGGCGTGCACTCATCTGCCTGGCGCTGTGGGTTGGATTGCATTAGAATGCCTGGCCCAAATTTTTTTAAACAAGTAAAAAGTTGATTTCTCACTTTATCTTCGCTATCTTTAGATAATACTTGAGTTAGCATTCAGCTAGAACTGTGGGTTTCAGTTCTTGTTGGGTTTTTGAGATGAAAACTGGAGACGCTTCCTTCCAGCTTGCCTCTTGGGGCACTTTTATCTTGACCCCATGGCCCATCTTCAGGTAAGGGTCTCAGCGGGGCCAGGCATCTCTGGCAGTGTCCCTGAAAATGTCCTCAGGACTGGATAAAATGAGGTGGCTGGTCAACACCTTGTCGCCCTGGGCTGTGATGTACTTAGATCGCCTGGTGGTCAGGCTGAGGAGGTCATGCTGGAAATGCATCAGCTGGCATATGGGCAGCTTGGGTTTTATGACGGGAAACCCTGAGAAGAACTTTAATCATGATCTTTGGCAAGTTGACTTTTGGGGAAAGAGCCTGAAGTCCTACTTAGAGCGCTTTTTGCTCAGTGATGCTGAGAGGGGTTGGGACAGGGACCCAGCAGAGCAAAGCAGTCCAGGCTTTCCACGCCGCCAGGAAGAAGGCTGCTTGTCTGGGGGCCCTGCAGTGACAGGCATGCGGAGGGTGTCTCAGCACTGCGTTGGGTTAACTGCAGGCTCACGGGAAGTAGGACACGTCCCTGGGTATGCACTTAGTCCATTTGAATTGTGGTGACCATGGTCGTCCCTGGCAAATTCATAAATTAAAACTGGTTCATAAGAACACAACAGAGTGGGGTATGTATGTGCATGTGTGTGGTTACAAGCTTAGAGTTGTAGATGTTTAATCTTCTCACATCTTAAAGTGTAGGAGGTGGTCTCCTGACTTAATAAACTTTGCTTAATATGACCTTATTTAAAAGGATGTTGTCAGGACATTATCACACAAAAGTCCTTAGGTTTGGCCAACTATGCTTCCCTTTCACTTTGGAAAAACTCACCTCTGCCACAGGGTTGGCAAAGGGAAAAGAGGTGCCACGGGACTCAAGTTAATCAGTTTGGATGAAATTTAGGCAGAAGATGAAGTCATTGCTTTTGAATTGCCCATGAGTTTGGTTTTCCAGTGTTCCAGAGAAATGCCAGGTCCAAGTCCTGCCACCAGGGAACACCAGGGGCTCCTGACCAGCAGGGTCCTGCAACCCGGGGGTTCTGGGCAGTCTGTTTCCTGCTGAAGGAGGGCCAGTTGCAAACTCTCTTGGGTCAGTAAGTCTTGGGAGAAACCCATCTACTCTCCACCCTTTCCATGGTCCTAGGGGGTCTTCTGTCTCCCTACAGGCCATAGAGGGCCTGGGCCTCATCACACCAGGGGGCTTTTCCCATTTGGATTGGTGAGTTGAACTGATGTGGCCCTGGGAAGCGCTTGTTGTCTGGAGATCTGCTGGTTCCCCTGGAAACAGCATGTGAAGTAAAAGCCCAGCACGCTTTCCTGCCGCTCCATCTCCCGGCTGCCTGCTTGGTTCGGCCTGTCTTGCCCTCTCCTGGGGGCCGCAGCCCAGTTGGAACCAGCGAGCTGCTGAGGAGACCGGAGCTTCGGCTGTGGGGTGGGGGCCACCCCCCTGACGGAGCCCCCTATCGAGTCATCCCTGCAGGCCTGTGCTCTGGGACACAGCTGGGGCGGCCCTGCAGGGTGCCAGCAGGGCAGGACACAGCCCAGCCCTGCCTCTGGGCCAAGCAGACCTCCGCTTGGAGGGCAGGCTCTGTGAGTGGCGACGTGGACCCTTCCGGGGGTGCACCGGTCATCTGAGTGCCTCTGGCCTGTTTGTGCTGCTGGAGAGCCGTCCTGCCGCAGGCTAGGGGTTCTGGGCGGTCCTCCGCACCCTGACTGTCGGCTTCAGTGCCGTCTCCTTTGCGCGGGCTCCGCCTCTGCCACTGCCTCCGTCATACCTGGCTTCCTACCTTTGTTGTACTTCCTCCCTCTCAGCCTGGTCAGTAGCGTGTCTCCCTGTTGCCTCCCCCTACACCACCCGTCAGGGACACAAGTTCCAAAGTCCAGGCCCTACTTGGCTGGCTCCCCTGTCTCCGCAGGACCTGATCTGTTTGGGGCAGCCAGAAACTGCCTTCTGAGCACACAGATGACCACCCCCACCCCCAGCCTTGCTTTGGGGCACATTGAAATTGAGTGACACTGAGATGTGGGGTGGCAGCGGGCACTGCAGAGCCATCTGCATAGAGGAGGCAGCGCAGGCACTGGGTGTGGGTGGCCAGTGCCAGGCCCGGGCACCTCAGGAGTGCCTGCTGTGGTCGCGCGTCAGCTGGCAGGTGAGCAGCTGCTGCCAGCTCGCTCCTCCCTTGTGGGTCCTGTCTGTGCCCCGCCGCACCCCTGCTGCGTGCCCACACACTCTCCCGTAGCCTTCCTCCCCGGGGGCCCTGTTGGCGCTCCTCCTCCGGATCCCCTTTCCGGTTCCCGTTGCTGGGAGGTGGGAGCCAGCGGTGTGCAGTGGGGTTTGTGAGCGGACTGCTTCCAGCAGGCCTTAGGCCCAGCGCCCCCAGTAAGCCCCAAGCCCTGTGCGGGAGCCTCTGGTCCTAGTGGGAAGTCACTTCCCAGAGAGCTTTTCCTCGTTGCTTCCAAGCCTGGCTCTGGTATCGGGTGAGCCGCCTGGATGTTTCCATGAGGAAGAGCTGTGCGTTCCGCGAGGCCCTACACCATTCGGTGCCCAGCGCGGCCTCCCAGCTGCGAGGGCCCCTCCTGCCCACCCCTGCCTGTCCCCCCCCCATCCTGGCCCTGAGTTGCTGGGGACAGCCGGGTGGGAGAGTCTGAAAGCTGTCGATATCTATCCTCCTTTTCACTCGAGAGCGCCTACCTCCCGCCCTTCTTCCTTCTCGGATTTTGGGTCACTGGGACACACCAGCTGGTTTGAGGAGTCACCCCCTTCCTCCCCAGCTATGCTCTCTTGGTAGTGTCCTTAATAGTGACATCAATTTGTACAGTAACCCTTACAATTATTTTGTCTGAACCACATGATTTGTGACTTAGGCCTTGAATCACCTTTATGTTTGGTGTGCTTCCAAGAGGTCCTGCAGATACAAATGCCCTTCTGAAGGTGCCGTGTCCCTGCTGTGTGTGGGACGGGTTTGCGCACGGGCTGGGCCCGCTATTTATAGCGCCTCAGCCACTGGTGGGGTGCAGACTGAGGGCTCCTGGCAGCCTCTCGCCAGCACGGTTCCTTCCTGTGGGGCCTGACGAGCCCTAGGTGGGTGTCCTGGTCCTCTCATTTGCCTCCACAGGCTCAAGCCCCCTTGTGTCTGATCTGTCTGTCCTCTGCTTTGCTCGTGTCGCCTGGGTAACAGAACCTGGGCCACGGAGATGCTCTCCCTTTGGAAAAGGGTAGGAGGCCTGCTATGCTCCCCTCCTCCTTCCATCACAGACTCTCTGCTAAGGTGGCCTTAGACGGGACAGCGGTCCATCCTGAGTGGACCACCGCACAACTCCTGGGTCAGGAGGGGTAGTGCTCAGCCACCCACAGGCGGGAACACTGGGAAGCCTCTTCTTTCAGTGCTGTTTCACATCTTCTCCTGTTCACATCCACCTGTTCCTTTTGTCTGGATACAGAGCACCTCCTACAGGCGTCTTCCTCCTCTGTCCTCGGGGCTGGTTCTCCTCTGCGGGACCCCGCTCCTTTTCAGGTGGCGCAGCTGCCGTGTCCACCAGCCTCTGTGTCACTCAGGTGCTGAATGGCACTGGCCCCTCACTGGGCCCTAGGAGGCAGCTGCCTGCACCACTTTTGCAGTGAGAGCCTTGCAGGATTGACCGCCAGCAGGACCGCCTCTGACATCCCCCACCCAGTTAGTCGGCACAGCGTAGGCGAGTGGGCACAGGCTGCAGAGTCCAGGGCCTCTGAGGATAGGGGACTTCTTCACTCATGGCAGAGCAGACCTGGCCTGAGCTGAAGCAAAGCTGGTGGTGGTCCCGTGCCTGCCCGTGTGTGGGGCTGGTCACGTGCCTCCTCCCAGGAGGACCACTGTGCTCTCAGACCCCACGCCATCACTTCTCCAAAACTGGAGCATTGCTGGCGCCCAGAGGTGATCACAGTTCCCACGTTGCCTCCAAGGTGTTTGTGTTGACGTGGTGCCACTTCTGAATGCTCACTGCTCGTATCTTATGCGAGGTCCTGTGTGTGGTGGCAGGTGCTCTGAGCGCAGAATCTGCAGCAGCCTCGCAGTAGCCTGTCCTGCTAGAGGAGACCAGGGCGCAGAGAGGAAGCAGTGTGCACGGACACGCCGCCAGGAAGTGAGCCCGGGCCTTCCCCCATCACGTGTATTTCATAAAGGCAAGGACATGGAGGGTGCCCTTTGTGTACTTAACTGAGGAAGCACTGATAGAGGCGTGCCGACGGGCTGTGATTTTTCCTTAGATAAAGGGTACAGGGCCTTGCACACTCCCCTGACTCAGGTGCTTGTGCCATCCTAGAGCCTGGGCCGTGCTGGTAGGCAGCTTGCTGGTACTGTCCTATTTGTCGATTGACCAGTTGGCTTCTGGCTGGCCCAGGGCCTCTCCTTGTCCTCTGCTTGCGCTTCAGGCCATGTGGACAGGCAGCCTGGCAGAATCCTTTACGTCACGCTGGGCGTGACGGCCCTCTGGCTGCTGAGCGCTGTGGCTGTGGTGGAGGGCCCATTCTCGAGTGGGGTGTGCATGAAACCGTGAGCATTGAGAGCTCGTTTTTTTTCTCATCCATCACTTTAAAAGCCACAGTGTTAAATGGTGAGTTGAAAATTCAGGATAACACATTGCTGATTCACTGATTGCCTTTGCTTGCCTTCTAAAGGAGAGACCGTTAGCCCAGCAGAGCAGTGTGTGTGGTGCCATCTTGACACAGCAGGTGTGGGGCACATGGCAGCGGTCAGCATGCAGGCGCTGCCTTCTGTCCTGTGGCTGACCTATGATTTCACATGTGGCACCACCGGGTCCTCACCTGGTCACGGGTCCCTGTTAGGAGCTGCACTGTACTCCCATGTATAGGGCAGCCTCCCGATTTTGGGATAGGCAGGCAATTCTCCTTTCCATTCAGGTAATATCAAAAGTGACACCTTTGTAGAATATTTATTTATTTATTTATTCATTCATTCATTTATTATTTATTCACTCACTCATTCACTCATTCATTCATTCATTTTTTATTTATTTAATTTATGTATGTGTGTATGTATCATTAATCTATAATTACATGAAGAACATGTTTACTAGGCTCCCCCCTTCACCAAGTCCCCCCCCACACCCCATTACAGTCAATCACTACTAGTCTTCTCTGTGTTGCACAGCCCTCCCCATGCCCCCCCACATTACGCATGCTAATCGTAAGGCCCCCTTTCTTTTTCCCTGCCCTTATCCCTCCCTTCCCACCCATCCTCCTCAGTCCCTTTCCCTTTGGTAACTGTTAGTTCATTCTTGGGTTCTGTGATTTTGCTGCTGTTTTGTTCCTTCAGTTTTTCCTTTGTTCTTATAAATTTTTTGGTATTTGTCTTTCTCTGCCTGGCTTATTTCACTGAGCGTAATACCCTCTAGCTCCATCCATGTTGTTGCAAATAGTAGGATCTGTTTTCTTCTTATGGCTGAATAATATTCCATTGTGTATATGTACCACATCTTCTTTATCCATTCATCTACTGATGGACACTTAGGTTGCTTCCATTTCTTGGCTCTTGTAAACAGTGCTGCGATAAACATAGGGGTGCATCTGTCTTTTTCAAACTGGAGTGCTGCATTCTTAGGGTAAATTCCTAGGAGTGGAGTTCCTGGGTCAAATGGTATTTCTATTTTGAGCATTTTGAGGAACCTACATACTGCTTTCCACAGTGGTTGAACTAGTTTACATTCCCACCAGCAGTGTAGGAGGGTTCCCCTTTCTCCACAACCTCGCCCACATGAGAAACACACCTCTTTAAACCTGATCTGGTGCCCTTACCATGAACCCTGACTTCTGAGCCCATCATTTAAGCTCTCACGCATGAGTTTCCAAGTGAAACGGGGAGATTTCAGTGAGTTCTAACCTTTCAAAAGAGTTTCGTTTTTCTAATGAGAACGAAGAATGTGCTCTTGGCTCAGGTTTGGGCTCCCGTAAAGCACGATGCAAAGGTGTATTGAGCACGGTGATCCCCATGCGAGTGGCGGTGAAGGAAGGCACAGGCTGTGGGCCAGGCACCTGGTGTCGTGCCTTTAGAGACTAAGCACGCTTTCTCTAAACCAGGTACTCTGGTGGCTCTGAGAGGAATATAAACTATATTTTCAAGGCAGAAGTTATAGAAATACTTAAGCTTTAAAAATAAGTCATCCTAAGTCCACAGTTTGGCTTCAGGGTTTCTTCATGTGACGAATCCGTACTGACCATCTCCTGGGAGCCTTACTCTGCCTGAACCAGGGGCACATGCAAGCAGACGGCCCTGCCCGTGGAGCCCCTGCTGAGTTGGGGTGACTGTGCAGTAGGGGGCACTAGGGCTCCATTGTGAAGGCAGATGGGGAGACTTAAGGAAGGGACTCCATCTGAGACCTGGAAATGAGATAAGTGACCAGCGAGGGTAGAAGCGGTCAGCCTGGGATTTGAACAGGCCACTGTGCACCGTGGGAAGGCACAGGGGTGGGGCCAGTCAAGAAGTGGTTCCCCTCGCCAGGTGGGACCAGGCAGTAGTTTGGCCAGCGGTGGTTCTGCAGGAGGTGGGGAGCTAGGGGTCCGGGTGGGTCCCAGACCTTTGCCCTGCGTGAGCCCTCGGGTGGATTGTCATGGGGCACTCCGGAACAGTCTGGGACCGAGGACAGTGAGGTCCATCCCGGATGTGCTGACAGAGATGTCAGCAGGGCAGCTGGATATGTGTTTGGGCTGGGGATGATCCCAGGCAGAGGACTGAGGGGGTTTCAGCTGAGGGGTGGGGGCTGGAGCCTGTGCCTGTCAGGGGTGGCTGAGGTCCTGGGGCGGGGTGGCCAGGGAGGGCACAGAGCCGTGGTCCAGGTAGGGCTGCTTTTTAGGGTCCCTGGGGCGAGAATCACCCGGGCTTTGGTTCCAAAGCTTGACAGTCAAGGTCAGGAATCTGGGCCAAGAATGAGAAGGAAGGGCCCAGATCTGAGCTGAGATGTGGGTCCACCCCCTGACCTCAGTCACCTGACTTCCCTCCTCCTCACCCACCAGACTTTTAAGTAAGGGAAAGTTCGAGTTTAAGGACATAAAATACCTGTTTTATAAATTTTGTTTAAACGTACAAAATACTTAAAACCTGAAGTGTGGCCGTGTCCTGCCCAAAGTTGCTGGTGGAGAGAGAGAACGAAGGGCTGCTCTGTGTGGGTGCTGTGCGCTCAGCTTTCCTGCCTGTGTCCTTCCTTGTGGTGCCTCGTCTAGTGAGCTGTGAGGCGCCTCTGTCACGTTCCCCGAGGGGTCTGAGTTTGCAAATACCCTGTCTAGTTGGATGAAAGCTGTGCCCATTGGCACATGCCCCTCCCATCTCTTCCTTCTTAAGATGACTCCCCCTTCACGTCACGTTGTCCTCTGTTTCAGGATGACGATCTGGAAGAGGGCGAAGTAAAGGACCCCAGTGACAGGAAGGTGAGGCCTCGTCCCACCTGCCGATTCTTCATGAAAGGTAATTGTCTGAGAGAGGGGCTCTGCGTGGCCTCGGCATCCCCTGGGGCTGTGCTGGCTCTGCGGCCACCTCGTCGAGGGCCAGGCTGCCCTTGGGACCAGAATGACAGGTGGCAGTGGTATTGGTGCTGAACAGCAGATCCTGCGATTGTGCTATTGTTGTGTTAGTGACCAGCCCAGAGCAGATGCCTGGTCATTTTCACACTGGCGGCTCCAGGCCCACCCGCTTAGAGCAGACCTGTGACTCTAATGTAGATGGCAGCCATCATCCTCCCGAGAGGCCCTCTTCCAAGGCCAAAGACCCCAGGTGCCTCTGTAAGGAAAATCAATGCTTCTCTGCTCGACATGTCAGAAATACATCCCTCGTTTGAAGTGAATTTCCCAGTTGCAGCAGGAAGGCCTGTGAAAGCAGCAGGCCCCTCCCTCTTGAGAAGTAGCTGGAGCAGGCCGGCGTGAAGGGCTTGTCGGACAGTCTGGGCTGGAGTCAGGAGGCTTGGAGGTGGACGCGAGGCCCCGGCTGTGGGACTCCTGGGCACAGCAGTAGTTTGTGGTACCCTTGCCGTGCCTAGTGAGTCCCTCGGACAGGCAGGAAGACGCTCTGTCCTTGGCCCCCTCTGGCACCGAGCAGCCGCCACTGGCCCAGCCCGTGCACTGAAGCTCACAAGAGCTCCCTGTGCTGCTTTTCCAGGCATTGTGACACTGCTCCCCGCTCCCCTTGCACCAGTGCCAAACCCCGTGCCACTCAGAGGCCGGGTTAAAGGTGCAAAGTGCACAGCACTCACCCTAGTATCTCAGAGGCACCCACTCCAGAGGCCAGACTTCTTTGTTTTGGATCCAGAAGGCGCTGTGAAGCCGGAGGGTGTGGGGAGGGGTGGGGGGCGGAGCAGAGCCTGGCCAGGAGCCCCAGTGCCCAGGGTCTTCTGAGCTAGGAGGGTGCGGTGCGGTGGAGCCCCACCCCTAGTCCCAAGGTGACCCCACGAGGAGGGGCGCCGGAGCTGACGGGCCGACTCACCAGCACCGAGGCCAGCGCCCGCCCGCACTGTTCACCTGCTTGTTGTTCCCGCCAAGTGTCAGTTTACACATGCATGTGATGGACTCCACTGTGCCCACAGGCAAGCCGCCAGCACAGTCTTTAGATGTGACCAGCATGGCTGCTCTAAAAGGCAGAGAGGTGTGCAACACATTTTAGAAAGTCTTCCAGGGCTTTGGTATTTGAAGTGTCAGTGTTTCAGAAAATGTAAATATAAACAACAGACCTTTTTTCCATGATGTGGGAATAAATGATGTCAATCCATCTTTGGACTTGCTCGATTAAAGTGATGGGGGCAGATATGTACCCATATACATAGATGTATCTGTTCATCACAGTGGGGTTCAGAAGCTTGGTGGGTGGGTCAGGACCAGCCAGAAGTTCCCATGTGGAGGCCACAGTGTCCAGGGTTTGCACCACGGAGGCTGGGGTCCAGGTGCTCAGGGTCACACTGTTGCGGTAGTCCCGGGGTTTCGCCACAGACGCACTCAAGTGAAGTGGTTGCTGGAACTGCACCACAGGGGGCGCCTGCTGGACAGGGACAGGGCACTGTCTCTGGGGATGTCTCCCTGGTGGCAGGAGGCACGTGCCTCCAGAACTTACGTGCTCAGTGGGTTTGAGGGAGTGAGGCTGGGGGGTGAGGCTCCCAGCAGAAGAGAAATCTGAAGCCAGCGGCAGACGGCCTTCCTTTCATCTTGGGCGTGATCAGTAACTTGTTTTAGGAGTATTTTTTAAAGGTACATAATTGCTTTCCCCTGTACTCTGTTCACAGATTTACCATCTTGCCTACTCCACAGAGTAATATGCAGTATAGTACAGAGGGAAATGGTTGATCCTTCTGTAGTTCTAGAACACGTATTCTGGCTTTTTATCAGTTATGAAAAAGTTTATGAATGTTAGTTAAGAAATGAAAATTTGCGTCCATACAAAAATGTGCATGTGAACGCTCATATAGTGGCATTATGTACAATAGCCGACAAGGGAATACAACCCCATGTCCGTCAGCTCATGATGGAAAAACCAGGGTGGTCTGTCCACATGATGCAATATTATTCTGACACAAAAAGGAGGAAATACTTATGCCACAGCATGGATGAACCTCAAAGATGTCACTTCAAGTGCAGAGAGCCGACACTGAAGGCCTCTGCTGGACAGGCCCGCCTCTGAGCCGCGCACAGCAGGCAGAGCCACGGTCGGGGTCGGTCATCAGGGGACGGGAGTTGGGGTCACGGCTGAGGAGTACAGTCTCCTTCTGGCGTGAGGGGATGTCTGGGATTAGATAGTAGTCCTTATATAGATTTGCCAATATGCTAACACCCTCTGAATTGTACTCTTTTAATGGAGTATTTTATTATGTGTGAATTATATCTTAATGTAAAAATTCTTTCTTATAAAGTTTGTTAGCTGTATTTCTATCACAAGTTGTGTTCTTCAAATTCATTTAATTGCCCAAAAGGACACACAGATTTGTGACCATTGACAAAAAAATGTCCTTAGAAATACAAGGACAATTGAAACATTTTAAAGTACCAATACTTTGTGGTCTGTTTTTACTCCCCATGTACTTACCTTGAATCACCAAGACACGAGGCTCTATCCAAAAGGCATCAATAGTGTTCTCTTTAAACATGTCCTCCTTTGGGCAGCACCTGGCCCAGTCTGAGGGCCAGGCCTCCTTGTCTCTGCTCCTTCCTGCTCGCCTGCTGTCTCTTTCTCGCAGAAGAAACACAGCATAAAGTCTACCATCTTAACCATTTTTAAGCATACGATTCAGTGAGTGGCATTGAGTATGTGTGTGTCACAGGCATCTCCACTGTCCATCTCTAGAACTCTTTCCGTGGTACAAAACTGAAGCTCTGTCCCCGTTGGGCACTCCGTCCCCCTCCCTCAGCCCGTGGTGCTCACCATTACTTTGTGAATTTGACAGCTCTAGGGACCTCATATAAATGGAGTCAAAGAGTACTTTTTTTGCCATTTAGCACAGTGTTCTCAAGGTTCATCCATGTTGTAGCGTGTTCTTTCCTTTTGAGGCTAACATCCCCTGTATATCCACCACATTTTATTTGTCCGTTTGTTAAACAGTGGACACTTGGGGTGCTCTCACTGTTGAGCTGTTGTAAATAGCACTGCTGTGAACATAGGTGTGCAAATATCTCTTCAAGACCCTGCTTTCAGATCTTCCCAGTGGATACGTGGGAGGTTGCTGGATCACATGGTAGTTCTGTTTTTAATGTGTCGAGAAACCGCTGTACTGTTCTTCACAGCCCCTGTGCCATTCCACATGCACAAGGGTCCCAAGGTCTCCTTGTCAGCACTTGTTATCTTCTGATCTCTTGATAGTAAGCGTCCTAAGGGGTGTGAGGTGACAGCCTGTGGCTCCGATCTGCATTTGCCTGAGGACTAGTGCTGTGGAGCACCTTTCCAGGTGTCTTTCAGCCTTTTCCATGTCTTCTCTGGAGAAACCTCTGTTGCCATTTTTAAATTCCTGCGTTCTCTTGTGGTTAAAGCAGTAGGTCCCAATATGTGGTCTTTGGACCCCTCGGAATCCTTGAGACTCTTTTAGGGGACCCCGGAAGCCAAAACTGTCCTCGTAATAATGCCACGGCTGCAGTCACATAGCGGCCAGGCGTCAGCGGCTGCGCGCTCATTGGGAGGTAATGCTGGCTTTGCCAAATGCTGTCTGTGATGGAGCAGGGAGAACTATGATTAAACTTTACACCCAAGTAAAAGTCTTTTTTTAAAAAACTTTATTGAGGCTTATCTTAACTGCCATGAATTCCCCTTTTAAGTGTACAGTTCAGTAACTTCTACTTGATTCACCAAGTCATGCAACATCACCCCAGTCCAGCTTCAGAGCGCTCCCCAGTAGCCGCCCAGACACGTCGCCTTGCTGCCCAGCGTGGGGGGTCAGAAGTGTGTGTGAAGCCGCACTGGTGCGCGCAGAGCTGCTAGGGGTGCTGCGAGCCGGGGGCAGCTGCTCTCCCATGAGCACCGCATGCACCCGCAGGAAGGGCCGTGCAGAGTCAGGTGGGCCTGCCACTTGAAGGAGAACTGTCTGCTGCTAATGATAAAAGTCAAGCTTTCAAATGAAAATTAGAATTTTGGAGAGCCTGGATCTCCATGAGCTTGATGGCTTTGCAGTGTTTCATGACTTTTCCAGATGGCTGTTGTGAGGTGTCACAGAATTGTCCTAGGTAAAAGGTGCGCTCATGGTTCAAGGCAGATGTCAGGCCAGCGGACAGAGTTGGCAACTCAGTGATAGGGCTGCAGGTCCCCCACTGTGGCTTTTAAGAAGCCTTCACTTGTTGAGCTCTGTGTTGGAGAGTGTTTGAGAGTCTGAAAAGGCGGTACAGCAAGCCCTCTCCTGTCCAGCCGCATCTTTGTGGGAGACTAGGTGTTCGTCACCTCCTTCAACCCAGATAGTCTGTCACAGCAAATGGAACTCAGAAGCAGACGTGGGAACCCAGCTGAATTCGATTCCAGTGTGAGCGTTAAAGAGATTTGCAAAAGGGGAAATAGTGCCACTCACATCACTTAAGTAATTATAAAGTGCAGTTACTTTTCATAAAACATCTGTTAACATATTTTTAACCTAAATTCCATGTTATAGTGTGTGTTTAAGTCTTCTCAGTTTTGGTTTCTATAGTAAATACCATAGGTCCAGCCTGTACAAAGGCTCTGTGAGGTCCTGAGGCCAAAAAGTCAGAGAATCCCTGGTTTCAAGTCCACATTATTTAAAAGCAGCCCAGAAATTATTTCATTCTTTTAACCACCATGGTGAGTGTACTCCTTAAAGAAGTTGAGGCCCCGCGATAGAGCCCACAGGACCGCGGCTGGCTGGCTGCAGAGCGTCCGTGAGGCTGTGCTCCTTCATGGGGGCACTGCGGCTCCTGGGCTTGCCTGCAGGGTGGACATGTGCCCATCTCGGGTCTGTCCTTAATACTTAATTACTAGCTTTTTTTACATTCTGCCTTCTTTTCATGAAGCATTTTTCAAAACCACGAAGCACCTTAAACTTTGTTTTGACAATCCCTGTGTTTATTACCTATTCTGATCTACTCAAACAAAATAGGAAATGGGACCATGGAATATACTGTTTGAAGTTCTAGTCTTTTAAGTCTTTGTTTAAAATTCTAGTGTGAAGCAAGTACTTTGTATGGAAAATGGACACTACTAATTTTCAGCTGCCCCAGTAGGACATGTGCAGCGCTGCGGCTATGCGGCCTGTACCTGGTGTCACCTACAGTCTGCTGGCAAGCAGCAGCGCCAGCAGCACGCAAGTCAGAGCTCGGTAGTGTTCCTGGGCCTCCCACACCGCCCCGTGCGCCCTCAGGCATGGCACTTTCCTCCTCTCTGACCATGGGACAGAGGCCCCCCAGATTGGCCCAGGGTGTCATGGCCAGCGGTGCTGGGCTTGGGGGCTTCCACTTCCTGCGTCGCCTGTGTGTGTTCCCCTCCATATCTGCCAAGGAATCTGCGTAGGTTTCCCGTGTGTCCTGGAAGAATGGAGGTTGGCTCCTGCTGAGCGTTGAGGCTCCTTGTGTAGATAGATGTGTTGTTCAGTGACAAGCAGCCAGGCTCCGCTCTGCGGAGTTTGCAGAACAGAATGGGCAGGATCGACTGCTGACTGCCCAGCCCCCAGCGAGTTGGGAGCGGCCCCTGGTGGAGGCTCTGGGGGTGTTCATTGCCAAGTACACTACTTTATGTATGTTACCTTTTTTAGTTTTATTATGAAATATTTCACAGATAAAAAATAAGGTTTACACTTGGATGAAGAAAAATAAAAGAGTAAAACAATAACTGCCATGCCCGCCATCAGTTAGGGCCTAACACATCATCCGGACCTGTGAAGCCGTGTGTGCCGGTGAGGACACATGCCCCGTCCTGCCCCGACACACCTGTTCTGCCCTTCCTCTGCCCTCCGGCTCTGCCCACATCCTTGTGCAGACTCCTGACGTAATGGCGAGCTGTTTCTTCGTCCAGTCAAAACCACACTCCACGTGCATTTTGTGGTTGTGAAGTTTCATTTGGGGGCATACAATTTTAAAGCAAAAAGACCTGTTTTTGCTTCCATTTTCTGGAGAACTTTTTTTTCAAAATGAATTGTTTTCTTAAATTATGAAAGTAACATGCTACCAGAGAAGACAATAAAAGATGAACGACCTTCTCTTTCCACAGTCCCAACAGCTTGGGGCATATCCTTCCAGGCTTTTTTTCTGTACAGACACAAATCCACTTTTAAAAAGGCAAATGAGATTGACACTATTCCTTTTCTGCCCTCTTTGCCTACATTTGCTGGACATATATCCTTGCCAGGTGTATATAAATCACCTGTACTTCTTTCTGGAATCTTCTTTTCTCTGGTGGTCAAAGGTCAAGACATGCTTAGCAAAGATCTCAGCACACCCAGGAGCAGGGGCCCCTAGGGACCACTTCTGTCACCCACCGGGGTCTTGGAGGGGCATACCCCTGCTCCTGCCTCTTGCTTGTCCTACGGTCTCCCCACCTGCCCCTTGCCCCCTCACCTGCCAGTGTAAGGAGAGGTCTTTTTTGTCAATGGGCTCATGGGTAATGGTTTTGTTGTGAATATTTTCAGGTAACAACAACAAAAAAAAAAACGAAATAGTAAATATGCACGTACCTACCACCCAGATACATATTTTATTTAGGCTTGAAAAATCACAGAAAAGCTGTAGTTTACATTGTCAACTTTTCTGACTTGCAAATTTCTACTATGAGAGCTTTTGGTACTTTTTCAATTACATAAGTCATGTGGGATATGGTAAGAGTTTCATAGGAGTCACAGGGTGTCGTTCAGTGTTCTGGAATTCTTTATTTAGATGTACGGCTGCATAGTCTTTGTTCTCTAAACGTCTCTGAGGCTCTGTGGTTTTGAACCCCTTATAGTATAATCCTAACCTTTGGTATGGGATCTCTCAAACACTTTTAGGAATTTTAAAAGTTAATTTGTCATTTTTGCATTCCTAGAGAAATAATTTTAAGCACACTTCATATTTAATTTAGATCAATACATTATTTATTTGGTTTTAACACAAGTTTAAATATTCATAATGTTTAAAAGGTAAAACTTTGCTTTTTCCTAAACAGCAAATGATTATTTCTCTTTATATTACATAAGGAAGAACACATTTTGTTGACAGAAACATTCAAAAACTGTATCATGTTTAGAAGTGAGTATATATCAAAAGTGGTTTCAAATTTAACTGTAAGTTGACCCATTAAAAATGCCCTTTGAACTACTTAGATACTGTATGCGGTATTTACTTCTGAACCTATGTACGTATTACCTCTTCAAAAAGGTTTTTTTTAAGTGATCCGCTCACTAATGAAATTAAAAACTTGGATTTCTTGCCTTCTATACTGAAAAATTGGTAGTTTCCTTAAATAA